TATGTGGGAATGCAGCACATCATGTAAAGGCCCTCACCAAAATCTCCCTGGAAATCACCACGTGAAGCCAGGAGAGGGGCTCTGGTGCCCAAGTGTGAGAGCTGTGCTTCCTTCAGCTGCCTGAGAAGGACTGACCACAGCCCAGCAGCCGTATTTGTGTGGCTGGCTCTCATGCTAATGCCTCCTAACAAAATTGCTTGGGAACTACTGCTGTGCTACCTCTCCTTAATGCAGACATACCTAAATATAACCCGCAGCTTATTTTCGTAGGAACAAGTATTGGCAGGTCCTGATCTGCAGATGGGAATGTTTGATAGCTCTCAGGTGTACTGCCAGCCCTTGGCTGTGGTTCCCGTGCTCCTTGCTAATGCCAAGAGGTCTTTATGAAAACTGCAAAAGTTGGACAGATTTCGGTATCTGAAGGGAAGCAGCTTGCAGGGAGGGCTCAGATTGCAGGTTTGTGATGCAGTGTGGCCGGCTGGGGTGCCCATAAGGTGAGAAGGATTGAAATCATTCATATGAAGTAGACCTTACGGTGGTGCCTTCTCCAGAAGTATCTCTGGAGATCCTGGTATTACTTTCCTTCACTAATTGAATAATGAATTCTACCTCGCTCCAGTCTCACTGGGAAAACCAAACTACATGTGACAGCCTATGTAGTGTCTTCTCAATAATATTTTTCCACAATACCCTCTATCTAAAATAGGATTATTTCCCTTCTTCATGTGCTCAGCTAGAGGCAAAACTGCCACTTCTGCCTTTTGGGTAGTCTTTCACCACATTTTTTCTCTGCCTGAGTACATCCGTTTATTCTTTTTTAACTATCTGTTCTGACTGCAGAACAGCTCTTTTTAAAATTGCCAGATACACCTTAACTTTCCAAAATATTGCTCCTGTATGTATTTCTTTCACATAAAGAAGAATATGTGCTCCAAGCAGCAATTCTGCATCAGTGAAGCTGGTTTATCTCTTTGCTTCAAAACCATTAAAAAAAAAAGCTTCTCTTTTATGAAATGTCTGAAGTTACTTCAGTTTAAATTACTAAATTGTAGGTGAAGATCAGAAGATGACATGTATATACTTAGTAGACTTTTTTGGAAATGAGGAAAGGGCAGCAACTGCTGGGAGAAAAGCCAGAAAACTGGAATATTGAACATTTTAGCCACCTCAATTTTACCACCAACAAATGTGAATGAAGACTCTGTGAAGCCACAAATGAGAGCTGGATTATTTACATTTCCTTCAGTGAAAATTACTGAAATAAATGTGCTCAAAGCAACAAGAATAAGCAAAAAGGAATTTTTCATTTTGCTGACATGTCACTCATGGTCTGTGCTTTTCCTCTGTCTATATGCAATGAAGTCTCTAGGCAACTGCCAAATTTCATATCTTCCCAGCAATTGCTACCTTATTACATTATGCAGCCAAATCAATGGGAAGGTTCATTCATAGTTTTACATAAACAGGATAAAGGCTTCAAAACATTTTACCTTCAATTTCTGAAGGTATATCTGCAATACCCACATCCACTCCATTTCATCCCTGTATCCTTACTTCGTGTTACGTAGTATTGCCAAACAGGACCTCGAAAGTCACAATTTGATTAGCTCTTCTCTCAATTAATTTCCCCTTAAAGCATTACAGAGCTCGGGTGCATTTTTACTGCAACCTTTTTTATGACATTTTATCATTATGGGGCGGAGGTCACAATTTTCCCCTTTGTTGCATTTATTCATAATTTCACATTCCCTGAAACACAATTTTACAGCAAGCTAAATCTCTCATCTTATACACATTTTAGCATTTATAAAATAGCCACTGGAAATGAAACCATGACACAGAAACAGAATTACATTTCCCTAAAACGATCTACTTATACACTCTGAATTTCTGGTTGCTAACATGTATTTAAATGTTGTATTCACATTAAATGCTATATCAGGTAATACCAAAAGGCTGGCTGTAGTGCAGTCTTTGTGATTCTTAAACAACTAGAAAGACGATGGATAATACACTTTTTTTTCGTAGCCAGTTACAGTTTAATGAAATATTAAGCCAGAGCTCTGTTCTGCTCAGCATATTACACCATCTTCCACCAGATACCAGCACAGGTTCACTCCTTCCTGGTTCTTCAGGAATGACCTATGGCCTACCTCTCCCCTTGTTAAAACTCAGGTTATCACGAATTGCTCTAATTTCTGTCATAAAAGTATTTCCTTATTTCAGTGGTTGCTGTAAAATGCACAAGTAATAATTAGGTGGGTTTTATTTAGAGTGAGAAGGGGGTTTAGAATTCAGAGACTTTAGCTAGATCTTTGTGCAGCCATATTCTGTGAGACACATTAAAAAAATCCAAACAGTAATATGGTTTACAATTCTACTACTTTTACAGAAAATATAAAACAAGACAATATTTTTTGGGAAGGAAGAGCAGGATTACTAAACTGCGATGCTACTCCTTGCAAATCTTAAATTACCAGAGACAAAGATAATTTCCATAAACAACAGAAGTGCAGGAGATTGCTTTCTTTTACAAAGCTGCAGTTTTGTAGCATAAGGTTTCAAATTACTATGTACTTCAAAATAACATGGAACATAACAAGCAAATAGCTTGATTTACTTAAGATTTGGTAGAAAAATTCGTATGGAAAACAAACAAAAAGAAAACACCCCACACAGGGCAGTAGAGTAACTTTGCCTCCCTTGTACTGAAATCCCAGGAAGACAAAATAAACCAACTCTCTGTTCATCAATCTCCAGATATTAAAAAAATTGCTTATGTTTCTATAAAAAGTGGAATAGGTGATTGTACGAGACACTATTTCACTAGACTTTAGCGTTTTAGTAGGTAAAACACATGGTCAAAGGAACCGGTTCTTAATCCATATTCAGAGCTGAAAAAGGAGTTTGTGTTACTTCCTCCTCTTCAAAATCAATTTAAACTGTCAAAATAGCTTCAAATCGTCAGATTTCAACTTTGACCCCAAGAAAACCCTCTAAAGAATAAGACTGAGTTGTTGCTGTAACATTTATGTCAAAAGGAAATTTTTAATTTGCAAGGAAAAACAAAAGTTTCTCCCTTCAGAGGTCTCTCCAGCAGCAGCACACGGGATTTATCGCCTCTCCTTTAACTCAAATCGCGTGTTTGCCGCAGGAAACTCTCCCGAACGCAAGTACCTGCTCTTCTCCCCCCTCACCGGGGAAACCGGGCGATTTGGTGGCAGAAATTCCGAGGAAAACACACTTTTGTTGGTCCAAAGAAACACAAATCGAGCACACCGAAGGGCTCCCCGGCCGAGCGGCGGGGCGGGCTCTGCAGCGCACCAATCACGGCGCGGCTCCGCTCTAAAAATACGAGCATCTGACCCGGGCCAGCCCAATTGTGTTCGCCCGCTCCGCCGAGGAAGCCGCCGCGATGTCCGAGACCGCTCCCACCGCCGCCCCCGATGCGCCCGCGCCCGGCGCCAAGGCCGCCGCCAAGAAGCCGAAGAAGGCGGCGAGCGGCTCCAAAGCCCGCAAGCCCGCGGGGCCCAGCGTCACCGAGCTGATCACCAAGGCCGTGTCCGCCTCCAAGGAGCGCAAGGGGCTCTCGCTCGCCGCGCTCAAGAAGGCGCTGGCCGCCGGCGGCTACGACGTGGAGAAGAACAACAGCCGCATCAAGCTGGGGCTCAAGAGCCTCGTCAGCAAGGGCACCCTGGTGCAGACCAAGGGCACCGGCGCCTCCGGCTCTTTCCGCCTCAACAAGAAGCCAGGAGAAGTGAAGGAAAAAGCCCCCAAAAAAAGAGCCTCTGCAGCCAAGCCCAAGAAGCCGGCGGCGAAGAAACCCGCCAGCGCCGCCAAGAAGCCCAAGAAAGCGGCGGCGGTGAAGAAGAGCCCCAAGAAGGCGAAGAAGCCGGCGGCTGCAGCGGCCAAGAAAGCGGCCAAGAGCCCCAAGAAAGCCGCCAAGGCTGGGCGCCCCAAGAAGGCAGCGAAGAGCCCGGCCAAGGCGAAAGCGGTGAAGCCCAAAGCGGCCAAGCCCAAGGCGGCCAAACCCAAAGCGGCCAAGGCGAAGAAGGCGGCTCCCAAAAAGAAGTAAATTGTTCCAGGAGAGTTTTGTCCTACGTGTTTTGTTATCCAACGGCTCTTTTAAGAGCCACCCACACTTTCCCTAAAGGAGCTGATGCACCGAGGTCGTCCGTAACCTGCAGCAGGGGTCCAGCAATTCGTAAGTCGTCAAGAGGTCAATTGTGTCTTGTGTCTTTTGTTTCCTAGGGATTACCGAAAGAAAGACTTAAGAACGCGGTAGAACGCGGCGACTTTAGGGAAGTGTAGACTTTTGTTTTTCCTCCAAGTGATTACTTTGACTACCAAGAAACAAATGTTTTATAATGATTTGATAAAAAATCGGATGTACGTTTTTTTAAAGATATATTTTGTAACAAAATAATGCAATTGCCAGGCACGCTACTACTGAGCCATGTCTAATCTATTGAATTATTTCTCTTAAAGTTATCTCCGTAAATGCCTTTGTCTGTTGGGGGGGGAAGAGGGAAGGGTTTCTTTACTGACATAAAAATAGCCGTGATCTTTCCCAATCCCTTTGTTCCTGATGAGAAAGAAAGCTTTAAGTATTGAAAAAGCCCGCCCTGCCCAAGGATTGGCCAGCGGAAATCCCGGCCCGCTGCCCTTCCCCCTCCCTTCCCCGAAGACGCTCACGCCTTTCTCTGGAACTGTATCAGCCACTCGGAGAAGAAAAGAGGCGAAAAAGGGAGGTGGGACAGGAGCTCAACAAATGGTGTCCGTATGTTCTCAGACGTAAGAACTAAACGGAAAATATCCCATACCAGGAAGAAATTGCACGGAGAGGAGGACGATTTGGCAAGACTTTGTTAACAAAAAAATGGAAAACACTGCTACTTTATCCAACCAAAAATAAAAAATAAGTTGAAACAAGAATTGAGTAGTTAATACATAAACGGCTTTCTCTGTTGTTTAGATAACTCAGCTCTCTTAGGACTTTGTGGGTGGCTCTGAAAAGAGCCTTTGGGTTTTTTCCAGGAAAGCAAATGCGCCGCTTTAGCCTTACAGGTTCACTTGGCTTTGGCCTTGTGGCTGTCGGTCTTCTTGGGCAGCAGCACGGCCTGGATGTTGGGCAGCACGCCGCCCTGCGCGATGGTCACCTTGCCCAGCAGCTTGTTGAGCTCCTCGTCGTTGCGGATGGCGAGCTGCAGGTGGCGGGGGATGATGCGCGTCTTCTTGTTGTCGCGGGCCGCGTTGCCCGCCAGCTCCAGGATCTCGGCCGTCAGGTACTCCAGCACGGCCGCCAGGTACACCGGCGCGCCGGCGCCCACGCGCTCCGCGTAGTTGCCCTTGCGCAGCAGCCGGTGCACGCGGCCCACGGGGAACTGCAGCCCGGCCCGCGACGAGCGCGACTTGGCCTTGGCGCGCGCCTTGCCGCCCTGCTTCCCGCGACCCGACATCTTCCCGCGCTCGCTCGCTGCCCCGGCACAGGAACGCGCAGCACGGCAGAGCAGCACTCAGCGCTCCCCGGCCCCGCACTCGCTTTACTGCCTCGACCCTTCGCTGATAGGCTGAGAAGTAGGTCTTGTGCAGGCAGCCAATGAGAAGGCGAATCCAAATTTGACCAATCAGACGCGAATATTGTGGAGCGCTGACATCACTTTGTGGTCTGACCAATGAAAGCGCGCAGGACACGAGCCGCTCATTTGCATAGATGCGCTATAAATACGTGGCACGCAGCTGCGCTCCTCACTTCCCTCCCGGGTTTTTCTGCGGGCGCTCCGTTGTCGCAGCAGTTGAGTCGCTACAGCCATGCCCGAGCCGGCCAAGTCCGCTTATTGTGATTTCTCAGATTGGATTTCAGATATCCAGTGGGAAGAGGCATTCTCCAAACTCTTCTTTATCAGCTTGAAATGATAGCTTTTGCTATCTTGCCAAGTGCTTTAGTACAAACTCTGAAACACAGGTTGCTTATCCTGAGTGCCTGTATATGTCTAATACCTCGAAAGATTAATAAACCATTGTATATCCAGTCTCAAGACTTTTCCAAGTTTTCCTGGGTCACCAGAGTAGCACAAAGAAGTGTGCACATATTGACAGTTGACGATGGTCACCAGCAGAATTTGTCAGTGGCCATTCTGTGTATAATCAGTGTGAGGTATTTTCACCCCAGTTCAAACTCCAGCTGTGATGGGAAAGCCCTGCTGCCTGATTTAAAGTAGCAGCTCAGTGCTGCCTTTTGGCTTCCCAGCTCACAAGGGCTCCTTTTGCTTTTCCTCTGTGTGTGTGCTGCATGTTGCACACTTCACTGGGAGCCAGCACAGAAACACAGAGAATTTTTTTTAATAGATTGTTTCTAGGCCTATGAAACTCTTCACTAAACAGAAAACAAAATGTTGCTGGTTATTTCTTTCAATTTTGGTATGAATGATAAGGCAGTCTTAGGGGGCTGTGATGTGGACATAGCATTTGACATCAGATCTGATTGCAACATAACTCTAATTTTTCTAACAGTGCTGAGAAGAAAGTCTCTCAACTGACAAAGAGCTACCACCATGGAAATTTTTTCAACTTGTTCTTCTTACCAAAAGTAAAGGTAGTAGGATTTAAGCTCAGCAAAAATATCAAATCTTAAAAATTTCATGCCACAAGAGGATGAACATTCAAAACCACTCACACAAATAGTGTGAGTATAAAATCATGAGACAGTTTATTCTTCCATAATTCCTGTTCCTTACTGTTCTTTCCTATTTCTTTCAGAGCAGCTCCCTTTGTGTTCCTAAAGAAACCCTCCCCAGATGAGATGACCCAGCCCCAGTGAGAGGGCACGGTGTTCAAATACATCATCCTGCTAGAGCAGGCGTTATTGCTGCTGCCACCAAAGCATGAAGGAACAAAGCAGATGCCCCCTCAAACAGTTTTTCTGCCCTGGGTTCCTCTTTGTAGATGAGTTTCCCATTCACAGAGTGAAAAGTTTCCCTATGCAGTGTGCAGAGCAGATAGAGATGGGTGTCTCCAAGGAGGAACCCCCTACACCAGACTGCAACCCAAATTATATCTGTGCCACCCATCATCCAACCCCCAAATCCAGTAATTTAATTCTTGGTAGTGGTCCCTTGATGTCTCATTGATTTTCTTGGTCACTGGGCTGGACTCTTTTTGAAGTTATCTCATTCTTGGGATTTGTTCCTTGGTCCATCTTCATTCTGCTTCTGTCTTGCCAGTTTCAGCTTGTTCAGTGTTTGTGGCACCACTTTTATCAAAAAGTTTACACTCTCATCAGCCCTAGGGCTCTCATGTGCCCTAGGGCTCCAACTTGCTGATCTTCCAGAGAAAAGCAAAGGTATTAATCCCAACAATTCTCAATACTGAGAAGTGTTTGAATACATAACCTATAAACAGGCCCTTGATGTGGTCTTTTAATGCTGCCCTCCTTGTTTACCTTCAAAATACCTCTTAATTCACAGCATCTGAAATATGGGGAATATTTTCTCTTCATAATACAACCATTTCTGTCAAAATAATTTTTTATAGCAGCAATTTTTTCTATCTCGGATGATCAGAGTGACATTACAGCTTAGTAAATAACCAGCAAAAAAAGAACACTGAAGAACAATACAACCAGTTACAAAAAATTCCCCTATTTTATTTTAAATAGAATAATAAAATTATTATCACTCCTGGAAGAATGTATATCTTCTCTAGGTGACCATCCCTGCAGTAAAATTTATGTTTATTAATCATCACTTTTAAAAAAGAAAACACCCTCTCTTTTTATTTCTGCAAAAGTGAAATACACCAGCTGGGCAAACAGATATCTGTATTCTCTAGTTAACAGACCGAACAGTGAATCAGAAATGAGAAACAGATGCCATATGCCTGGACCAAAACATGAACAGATCACAGACTGTCTGTAAGAATTTTTTGCTACTTTCTGGGGTTTTGAGGTTTTTGCAGGACTTTTTTTTTGTTTTGGTGGGGTGTTTTCTTTTGTTTGTTTGGGTTTTTTAACATTTGTGTTGTTTTTATTAATGATATAAACCAGTAGCTGTTCTCAAATCTGGATTTTTTTCCTTTAATGGCCCCAGAATACAATTACCTCACACCCAGGACAACTTATTGCAATGTCAGTTTCCCAGAGGTTTTCTTTCCCATTTTAAATAGAAAATATTATATTTTAAAATAATTACAGTTGCAGGAGAAAGTATTGACTGCAGCTAGGGAAAAATATTTGGTCTTACACACACCTTGCTGCAATGTTTTCTCTCAGTGATGAAAACTGGCTGAGGTTAGATGGTAAATGAAAAAAAACAGAGACTTGAGCTTCCAAATACCTGGTCTGAGCATTGTGGCATTCAGAGAACAGCACAGCTCAAGACATGACATAAATCTCACTGAGGAGAGGGCTGAAAGCAGATGGGAATGCAGCTGGGAACTTCTCCCTTCCCAACCCACACACCTACAAGGAAGGATGAAGATCACAATGAGCAGAGGCAGCTCTTTCCTCAAGGACTGGGGTCACAGAACCAGAGGCGTCTGTAGGTGGAAAAGGTAGTTTTGGTTAGATTTCCTTCATTCTTACAAAGAACTAAATTATTTGACTGCAGCCCTGTCAAAGTGGATGTTTCAAAAGCATTCCTTGTCAAAAATGATAGAAGGTATTAATTGGAAAAGTTCATCCTTTCATTCTTACCACTGTAAATCTCAGGAAGCAATTATGAGGATAATTCATTTTACAACTAGAAAACAAGTAGATTGAAAAGAGCTACAGAACAGATGGGAATTTTAATCCCACATAAAATCCACAACCTTTTTGTACTTGCACTCCTGCTTATATTGCATGTGGATATTTTTACTTGCAAAGGTCGTAAGAAAATGGAAGAAATAATTCCTGAAATAAGAAGAGAGAACACAGAGTGTTACCTCTGAATTCTGAACTTCAAACAGATGAAAGGATATTGACCTCCTTTTGTGTAGTATCAGAGCTGTAAGGAAATACACACATCTCTGGTATGCATCCTCTTTTCCTTTTGTAGCAAATAGCAGCCACCTCAAAAATAAAAAATCTGAACGCTACACATGATCAAGTTTTGGGGTTTTTTTCCCCCCACCCCCCTTATACTCTTGGGACACAGCAAGGTTAGTGCCTTCAGTCATTCCTCTCAGAAAAGAAGACAAAAATTACCATAGGAATGGCACAGGCCCAATCTTTCAGCCTGTAACAAACCATCTTTAATCAGAGCTGCCTCCACCTGAGCTCCCAGCACCAGCAGGCTGCACTGCCTGCATCACAGGCACTCCTGGGAGCCGGGACTCGGCTGAGCTGCCTCGGGAAGCCAAAGCTGTCTGAGGCAATTCTACTCTCTGCAGCTGGGGGCTTTTGAAATCGCTGCTACCAACCCCATGGGAGAAGGGAAACGGCCACGTTCCACAGGCACCTGGAGCTCCTGGAGCTCCAGCCCTATCTGGTACTTACATGTGATGCACAACCTCAGGGGATGGGCATGTGCTGTACTTCAGAGTCACCACAGCAGCTCACATGGCATGGTGTAAAGAGCACGGGGAAACAGCAGGAAACTGCAAAAGAGCTGGGATTAATTTACAGCATTTATCTGAACCCAATCATGCCTACTTTTCATCTTCACCCTACAGGTTTTTTTCTTGACAAAGGTAAAGTAAAAAATACTTTAACTGGTGGCTGGGGCAAAACTGAAGAGGAAATACCTTGTTTCTGGAAGCACTCGCTTTCTCCCAAAGCCAAGCGTGGGCTCCAAACTCCCCACACCAAGGAGAGAAGAGGGCGGGGATGCAGCGATCAGTGCCGGAAAAAGGAAATTAAAAGCGATCGTGCTCTTCCCAGCCTAATGCGGTGCCCCCACCGTAGTGGCACATCACATCCGACCGCTCCTTGGGGACCCTGGCACCTCCTCCCTGCCTGAAACCTTTCCCCAGTGCTCTACAATTCCGCCAAGTTTTTTTGTCTGCAAGTTTGTCTTCCCTTCCCACTCCCCTTTCTGTGAAACATGAAGGTGCAAGAGAGATTCGTTCCTATTCAGTACTCTGAAAGGACGCAATCCAGGCCGGCAAGACTTTATTGTTGCCCTCGAACAGGTACTGAACAGAGCCCGTACAGCAAACACGGAGCGGGCTGGGCAGGACCCGGGATATTTGTGCCACTACAAAAGCCCCAGTCCCCACTGCTAACACATGGAAAATCGCATTGGGGGACCGAGTCGAGGAAATAAAGAGGAAACAAAGACTCTGCGGCGGTGTCCGTGAGGGGGAAAAGGGGGATGCAGGGGACACGCGCGTATTTACACGGGAGGAATGCCCTCACATATTTTTAGCGGGACTTTATTTAAACAGGGGCTCTAAACTTAAAACCTTAAATGAATGCAAAACTTCGGCTACAATCCTTGATTCCTAGCCATATCTCCTTGTTTCATAACTGCTTAATAAGGCATAGGAATCCGTGTATTACCAGTAAAAACTAAAACTCAGAATGTTTTACATTCTTTGGCTGAAATGAGTTTGTTCAATATGCTTTTCAATTTTTCCTTTAAATTTTCAAATACTATTTTCCCTCACTTTATTTTGCATAATTCTGTGACAGTTTAAGGTATCTAAGTAAAAATAAAAACACTTTCAAGAGAATTTTTTTCCTTGTGAACTCTGCACAAATATATCCACGAAAATAAAAGGGAATCTTTCACACTTAAAAGATGATAAACTGAATTAATAAGCAAGACAAAATTATAAACGTGTATAATGTAAAAAGGTTTTAAGGCTAGCATGGTTTAATGCTCAAGCTAAATTTTCTCAGTTAATAACAACAGAAGAGTTGGAAAATCTGAAAACGGAAAGAGAATACATTACAGCTTTATATAAGAACACAAAGCATTAAGTAAGAGCAGGCCATGAAAAGGGTAGGTGGTATTTGGTAAGGGCGGGAATTTTAAAATTTGAATCAACCAATGAAATTCAGCCTTCACCCGTCCGCCTATCAGAGACTGCAGCAGTGCTATAAATACTCCCTAAGTACGGGGTGATGCTCATTGCTGCTGTTAGTCTGTACTTGACTGCTTGCATCGTTAGCCATGGCGCGCACGAAGCAGACGGCGCGGAAGTCGACGGGCGGCAAGGCGCCCCGCAAGCAGCTGGCCACCAAGGCTGCCCGCAAGAGCGCGCCGGCCACGGGCGGCGTCAAGAAGCCGCACCGCTACCGGCCCGGCACGGTGGCGCTGCGCGAGATCCGGCGCTACCAGAAGTCCACGGAGCTGCTGATCCGCAAGCTGCCCTTCCAGCGCCTGGTGCGCGAGATCGCGCAGGACTTCAAGACCGACCTGCGCTTCCAGAGCTCGGCCGTCATGGCGCTGCAGGAGGCCAGCGAGGCCTACCTGGTGGGGCTCTTCGAGGACACCAACCTGTGCGCCATCCACGCCAAGCGCGTCACCATCATGCCCAAGGACATCCAGCTGGCCCGCCGCATCCGCGGGGAGCGCGCCTAAGCCTTGTCACAGCCTTGCCACCTGTTTGAAAAAGTATTCCAATCAACACAAAGGCTCTTTTAAGAGCCACTACATGCACAACAAAAGGAGCTGTAGCACTGTTAGCTTTTGCATTAAGTTTTAGTGACCTTAACAAAAAGTCACTCAATTTACACAATTATAAAGTGGATGGCGATTGTGTTACAATTTATTTATTTAAACTTTGAGATACATACGGGAGGATTGTTATTTTCCGATGTGGGGAAGGGTATAACGTTTTATAAGCTCCAAAAAGAATATTGAAATGGTTTTAAAATCGGGTGACACCGCGGGAAAAAAACCCACGGTGGAACAAAGGGAAATTCAACTGCCCGCTCTGCGTGCGCGTCCCCTGCGTCCCCCTTTTCCCCCCTCACGGACACCGCCGCAGAGTCTATTTCCTCGACTCGGCACCCCCCCAATCTGCAGTGTGAGGCCGGCTGCTTTCCAAGAATCCTAAATGCCAGGGGAGAGCGAGCACGGCGCGGGCCGGGGCAGCGCCCGTCCGGGCGGGAGCGGTAGCGGGAGCGGCGGTTGCCGTGGGAGGGGCCGCGAGCCGAGCCCCGCCCTGCGCGTATTCTCATTGGTCGCATGGAGAGCGCGGGCGGAGGCTGCCGGCGCTGCGGCCGTCGCGATTGGTCATCGTTGGATCCGCTGCGCCATTGGGCCGCGCGTGGGCCGCAAGGGAGCCTCGGCCTATGAGGAAGCGGCGTCCGCGCGCAGGGAGGGGATATAAAGGCGACGGGCTCAGGGCGGCGGTGTCGGCGGCGCTGTTTGTGGGTGTCGTTGGGAGTTTGTTGGCAGAGCGAGCGAGCAAGCGCGGGAAGATGTCGGGTCGCGGGAAGCAGGGCGGCAAGGCGCGCGCCAAGGCCAAGTCGCGCTCGTCGCGGGCCGGGCTGCAGTTCCCCGTGGGCCGCGTGCACCGGCTGCTGCGCAAGGGCAACTACGCGGAGCGCGTGGGCGCCGGCGCGCCGGTGTACCTGGCGGCCGTGCTGGAGTACCTGACGGCCGAGATCCTGGAGCTGGCGGGCAACGCGGCCCGCGACAACAAGAAGACGCGCATCATCCCCCGCCACCTGCAGCTCGCCATCCGCAACGACGAGGAGCTCAACAAGCTGCTGGGCAAGGTGACCATCGCGCAGGGCGGCGTGCTGCCCAACATCCAGGCCGTGCTGCTGCCCAAGAAGACGGAGAGTCACAAAGCCAAGAGCAAGTAAAGTAGGCGGCGGGAGTGTCCGGAGTCCAGAAGCGAAACCCAAAGGCTCTTTTCAGAGCCACCCACAGAGTCGAGAAAGAGCTTGAGATGCTGCGGCCCGGCTGCCGGGGGAAGGGAAGGGAAGGGGAGGGGCGGCTGTGTTGGTGTCCGGCTGGGTGTGCGCGGTTCGGCGAGTGTTTGCCGTGGCCATCCCGGCGATTCCAGCGGGCCGGGCTCGGCGGGAGCGCTCTGCTGGCGGCGCGCAGGGAGCCGCTGTTTCGGGAGGAGCGCGGGACGTGCCGCAGCCAATGGCGGCCTGCGCGCGCTTTTGGAATGGCGCGGGCGCCGAAGGCTCCCTGCGCAGGGCCCGCGCTCCCGCGGGCAGAGGAGCGGAGAGCCTCTCCCAGAGCGCCGCTGCTGCGGGCGCTGCAGGCAATTCTGCAGCTGCCTTTGAGCCACGGGTGGGAAATTGGGAATAGAAAGGCTGTGGCGCCTGGTCGTGGAGAACTTGGGCATATCGCAGTTTACTCACATTTTCGTAGGGATGGGTAATTACACCGAAGCGTCTTGTCCTGTGCGGGTTTTGTGTTTTATTCCTCCCCAAAAAGCCCCTGAAGAACAGCAGCCCGACCTATGGGGGGGAGCGGAGGGGAGGGAAAAGAAATGCTGTGTGAAGGTGAGGGAATCAGAGACGAACACAACAATAAACAAGCGGCAAAGTACAGCAATACAGCTCTTTTCAAGGAATAGGTGGGTGGCTCTTAAAAGAGCCTTTGGGGTTTTTGTCGCGGTGGTACTGTAAGAAAGTGAGGCTTTAGCCGCCGAAGCCGTAGAGGGTGCGACCCTGGCGCTTGAGGGCGTAGACCACGTCCATGGCCGTGACCGTCTTCCTCTTGGCGTGCTCCGTGTAGGTGACGGCGTCGCGGATGACGTTCTCCAGGAAGACCTTGAGCACGCCGCGCGTCTCCTCGTAGATGAGCCCCGAGATGCGCTTGACGCCGCCGCGCCGAGCCAGGCGGCGGATGGCCGGCTTGGTGATGCCCTGGATGTTGTCGCGCAGCACCTTGCGGTGCCGCTTGGCGCCGCCCTTGCCGAGCCCCTTGCCGCCTTTACCCCGACCAGACATGGCGAGATCTCTGTCGCTGATACTGCCGCTGCCGCTGTGAGCGGCGCCGCCCGCGGGCCGGGCCTTTATGGGGTTCGGTCCGACCTGGTTGGGAGCAGGGGCGGGCCCGGCGGGCGGGGGCCGGGCCGGCGGCTCCGCCCCTTTGGCCGCCGGCGGGCACCGCCCCGGGCCCGGCCGCTCTCTGCGCTGTGCCCGCCTCCGGCTCTGCCCTCCCTCCCCGCCTGGCTCGCGTCGCCCAGCCCCTCGGCTCCCCAGAGCCGCTTTTCCCTGCCTCGTCCCTGCGGGCGGTGTCGGCCCCGGAGCTGTCTGTGGCGTTTGAGCAGCTCCCCGCCGTGGTGTCCATCTGGGCTCGGCGTGCCTAGTCTCGGGTTCCGGGGATGGCTGCAGTTCTTGCGCTGGAGCTCGGCCTGCCCCGCCGGCCCCGCGAACCTTCAGCGGCTGCTGGCGCTGCGCTCTCCCGGTGCCGCGTTTCCAAAAAGCGAACAGCGTTAGGAGCCGCTTTCCCGATCTTCGCCCTCTTCTCTCTTGCCACCTGCTGCACAGCATGTAATTTCCCTCTAACATTGCCACATCATTTTTTCTACCCGATGGCGTAACAGAAACATATATTTGTCTTCATGTGGATGCTCTCTTTGAGATTTACAACTAATATTTTCTACCTTACTGTGTTTTTTTACCTACGGCACAACTTTTTTTTTTTTTTTTTTTCCTCTCTGATTTGGGTATAAATAACCCACCTTTTGGGAGTACTTATTTTTTCCAAGCATTGGGGCAGATATTGTAATGTGATTTTGTTTTGTTTCCTTTAGTGAGTTGCACTAAATCCTCTACATATCTTGTTGTTCTTATACTGTATGCTGTATACTGGGAACTTAATGTGACAATACTTTATAAAGACACTTAACCAAGTACAGCTTACAGTAAAAATATTTGCCAGAAATGTGAATGTCCACTTCATTAGTCTTTCTCCTTTTTTTAACATGTGTTTTGGGCCTAAATATACTCTGGAACCCTCCTAAGCATTGCTTCATGTGAATATATAGATATATATATACATATACGCTAGAAAATAATGAATAGCTTAACAATTCATAAAGCTGCTGGCTAACCATGGCAAGTATTGTGTTAATTAATCATAAAAATTCTGAAAGAATTTCCAATAGTCATTCTGAACTTATTCCTCCCATTTAAGTTTTCCTAGATGGGGTTCACTGTGGGCTTTGTTATGTTTTTTCTCAGGGATTTGGTGGTGTTTGGTTTTCTGCTTGGTTTGTTTTGGTTTTGTGTTTTTTCTTTTTTTCTTTTTTTTTTTTTTTTTCCCCAGAAAATCAGCACAGAACTATTATTTTATGTAGAAGATATTTTGATTTGTATGTTACGAACATTGAGTTGACTTCTCTATATTTCACCAGTGAGGACCAGCACTGAATACCTGAAATGTGAGCATGTCAGCTGTGAACTGAATCTCAAAATGACTTCCAGCCACAGGAAACAGCAGAAATTGCTGTGAAATGGCTGCCATGGGCTTTATATACCTCCAGATGTTTACATGCATGCAGAGCCTTACAAAGCAAGCTTTCTCCATCGCTGTATTTTTATTTAGCACTTTTTTGAATAATATTTTCATCCACTTATGAGCCATCTGGTTATCTTCCTCTCTTTTATCTTTTACAATGCATGCAGAAGAATCCACCCAATAATCTCCTTTTATATGCAAGAGTTAAAATTTTCACAAAACTGCAAAGCAGCAGGGACACACTTTTCCCTGAATTTTAGTTGTTTACTCGAAATTCCAAGGGCTGAAGATTAGATGAAAGCTCTCTTGGAAGCTTTGCTTCATTCATCTGCAATTTACAGCATTAGGTTAGAAATAAATCTTCCTCTTCTATAAATGCTCAGTAAAGAGATTTTGATGCAATAGTATTAAGACAAGAGAACCATCAAAAAAGGACGAATGCCTCTTTTTTTTTTTTTTTTTTTTTTTTTAGAAGAAACAGTAAAATTTTAAGTTATTTTAATAGAAACTGAAAGGGAAAAAAAAACATGCTGTAATGTTACAATGCAAGATGTATTTTTCTTAAAACTACAACATCGATTTAGTAAGTTTTGAAACTTACAGGCAGGCAGACATTCCATTGAATGCAGGAAGACCTGGAGCGTGTTCTGAAGTAACCACCGGAGTCTGGCCTGTTACACAGTCAGAGCAATTCCGTTACCTGGTATCAGTGCAGTTGGACAACTCCATGAACTGATTTTTTTATATGAAGGAAAAGAAAAAAAAAATCCACCTAGGTTAGAAATTTTGCAAACATCCTTGATGTCCCTCACTGCACTGCATAAAACCTTTATCTGCTTGTGCCATATCTGGAGTTTCCAAAGGGCAATTCCTGTTCCTTGGTTGTAGATGAGAAGGCTTCACTCACCTCCTACCACTACAATTCTGGGAAGAACTCTAACATGCTTCCTGGAAAACCACTGTAGGTCACAACATTCTTCAATCAGCTTTGGGAATCTGACCTGGAAAGTGGCTCTTTCTAGTCTATACTTATTATCAGATCTGTGCTGTTGACTAAACATAAAAATGACCCTTCTCACAATTCACATCTTTGTGCCAGCTCCAGCAGCAGATTCAGGTCTAATGCTGTGTCAGAAACTCCTTGTGTGCCACTCAAGAAGGAAAAATATTACAGTCCATTTGTGTTTCTGCATGCTGGGCAAGAGGATTTCTGTCTTCTCAATGATATTTGTGGACAAAGATTGAAAGACAGCGATACAGTTTCCATCTGTATTTGAATAGTGTGAATTTTAATCTCTGTGATTTATAAATTGTTTCATTTCCTGAAAACGAGGCATGCTCTATTGCATGAGAAAAAAAAAAAAAAAAGAAAAAGAAAAGGAAATAAAATGTTTATGTCTTTCAAATGTGGAATACAGACTTTTTAACATTCTGAATTGCGTATCTCACCTTAGGTCTTGGCCTATACCCAGAAATTATCAGATAGATAAAATAAGATTACTGTACAACCCAGCCAGAAGCCTCACCATTGCGGAAGCCACAACATTTGAAGAATTTGGGTGCTGTTTATTTAGGCATGGAGTAATGAAAATACTAAATCTATGTTTGTTATAGGACATTTTGACTTTACTAGTCATTCAGAAAAATGTCAGTGGGCACAGAGAAAAATAATGGTAGCCTTCCACTTATTTAAGCAGAAGTAGCAAAGCTTCATTGTTTATTTTGCATTAGAACACCCATGCTAGGCATCACCTTTGAAATTTGGCATTAAAGCACAGAAAAACAATAATTTCTTACCATCTACCCTATTCATTGTTGGAACAGGAGCAAGGTTAGATGTCCAATTTCAGTAAGCAATCTGCATAAAGTGTAATTAATTTACAAATGTGTGGGATTTTGATGCAGAATATGAACCCACTTGGCAATGGTTATTTTTGTCCCCTTCCCCCTCTATTAACCTTCTAAAAAAACTCTGGGTAGAATCTCTGTGCAGGCCTGTGCTAATTCATAAACATGTTTATTCCCTGGAAGGAAAGCAACAATAGTTTACTAAAATATTTCAAAGTTTCTGTTGACATTTGCTGATTTTAAAACTATGGGGAAGGTGAGTGGAGTGATGATACCCAAACTCAACTTCTAGGTGAGGAAATGATGGAGTATCAAAACCTTGCATATGTGATACACATATGCAAATGCATCAATGTGCTGCATTGAACACGTTCCCTTTTTTGTGTTTTTCTATAGTGGCTGAAAAAATAAAATTCTAGTCTACAGTGGCTGAGAAATTAAAGCTCACTGAATTACAACACAAGTACTTGGATGATTCTAAGCTATTTTGCCTGAATATCCAAAAGCAAAACACGGCTGAAGGAAAAAGTCAAGCAAATTACCTCTG